ATGACGATGACGATGACGATGACGACAATAACTATAGCAACAATAACATCGTCAACAACAATAACAATAACAACAACAACAACAACAACTGTCCCATTAAATAAATTCTGACTTATGCTGCTCCTTTTCAGGATTTTCTAAGTGGAGAGTACCCAAAAGTGGTTTACCATTCCTTTCTTCTGGGGACATCCTCAGACTGTGCAGCTTGCCCAAGGCCACAAAAGCTGATTCTTCTGGGATGCACAGTGGGGAATTGAACACCCAGCCTCTGGCTCCGCATCCAGGTACCTAGATTACTGATCTGTCCAGCCAGGTTCAGGAATCGAACACCCAACCTCTGGCTCCGCATCCAGGTACCTAGGTTACTGATCTGTCCAGCCAGGTTCGAACTCATACAACCATACCTTAAATATTCCACTTACTTTCAAAGCCCGATTAAGGTCATTTTAAGTTAGTTCCGACTTCACAGCACATAACAGTATGCTGAAGCATACTCCTGATACAATAACTCAGTTATTTTTCTTGTCTTTGATACTTTTCTCATGGATCTAGTTGCTTAACTGTCTTGTATTCTACATAGTCTCTTATGAGACTTCTCTTTTTAAAAAAAGTCTCAACAGTACAATACAGTAGGTGTACCCTTCTTTCCTACCAACCTGGGATGAGATTTTCTATTCTGGAAGAAGTAACACAACCTTTCAGTTTTGGGGAGGGGGGAAGGAGAAGCAAGATGAAACAAACCCTTCAACTCTATTGACCCTTGTATGCTGCCCATAAATGGCAAACTAAAGATTCATGAAAAATGAATGACTTAGGAAATTAGTACCTTCTTATGTTTCAGAGAATGAAACAGGACCAGCACCCTTTCGCTGACAGACAAAAGTGTGTTGATGCTCTAGATGCTTTATCCCAAACTACTTACCTTGGTAATTGTCTATGGAGGCAAGAACGCAGACAGCCTTGTGAAATACATTTAGCATGCCTAGATGTGAAAAGCCAGCTGCCTCACCAAGAAATGGTAATGACAATTTTAATTATACATCTTATCTGTGAATTCTTTAGGTGCATAATTCTAGTGTTATAAATGGTGCAGGGACACTTATTTTGTGCACCAGCTCTCTTTAGTTTTGCCTCTGAACACCGCTTGCATCTTTGCTTGCTTCCAGCTTCTTTCATTTTGGCAGACTTAAGTATTAACTTGTAAATCAAAACTCTGCTCTAGCATTTTGAACCACAGCTGAGAGACAGAAAAAGAAAACAGAATGTTGGATTATTCTTGAATCTTAGTTCAAGCCAATTATCTATTTTTCCTTATATGATTATAACACAGTAAGTTGGTGGCAATCATGAGAAGTAACTTTAGCAGCCCACTTAAGTTATTGCTGTTTCTTTCAGCCATTACTTTCAGTTGTGTTCTCAAAGAGGTTCCATTTGTGAATTTGGAAAGAAACAATTTCATCTAGTTCAGGCAACTTTGGAAAGGATCTTCTTATAGTTCTTAAGAACATATTTCTCAGGCTGTCTACAGTATATGTTCTGATACCTCCACATACATATGAATTAGGGATGCAATTATTTGTGAAAATGTATAATCTGAAAGATTTACAATTTTATATCATAAATTGTTTCTTCTAAGAAAATGTTCTTGAAAGCCTCTCCTGTTGGCATCAGGGTTTTATCACATGGGAAAATGGAAATCTGTAGAGTAAATATCCTGTATCTTCCTAAGCATCTCGAGTAGCAGGACTAGAAATATAACTGGGCACAATTTCTGCTTCAGACCTTTGAATCGCAGTGTGGCATTAATATATTGAAAGGGGACTCTGAAAACCCAGGTTGTAGCCCCAAGTTTATTATGGAAAAAACTGGGTGATCTTTCGCCAAGCACTCTCTTTCTCTCTCAGCTTGACCCACCTTACAGGTTTATAGTGAAGATTTAAAAAATTGGCACAGGAAGATGAAGATTATATACACCACTTTGAGCATATTGGAATAAAAGTGGAATGTAAGGGTAGTTAATGAATGAATACAATAATAGGCAATGCACACAAGAGAGGACTGGCTGAAACAATTCCCTTATACTGCATATTTGATCTTGTTTTAGTTCCGTAGTAGTTGGGTTAACTACCATGCCAATTTTGAAAAGTTAATAACATGTGAAAATAGATGTAAAGATAAAGCATGAGACAAGTAAGAACAACAAGATGAGGAATTGTTGTATCTCCTATGCATTAAAATCCATAGTCATATGAACTTTAAAAAATGTAATGGCAACAATAATAGTTTTTTACGATACTGACACAAAGATGCCTGTCCAAACACACTGTGTTTCATAGACAAGTTCATTAATGTTTGAAAACATGAACAAGTTGGGGACAGTTGAACAAGTACAACTGTCTTCCTCATGTAAGAGAGTGGTTTTATTTTACTCCAGAGACATAAATCGTTTATCACAGGATAGGTTCCTTCACACATTTGCAGAAAGCAAAGTAAAAATTATTATGTTCATCTGAAGCGTATATTCTTGACCTTGTACAACCCCTGAGCCCTATTTTAAGACCATGGGTTGATCCTGGTTGTCCTGATCTTTTGCCAGTGCAGTACCCACTTCAATTTTCTGCTAGCTTTGGTTTTTATTTCATGCAATATCATTGCTATTTATCATTGTGTTGGCTGCTGAAAAACCACACTGGGTTCCTGTTATTTGGCAGGAATTAGATTTCCCTTCCCTTCGGTTACAAGGAGGATAATCAGACAATTTTTTTAGTTGACCCATTGAATTCTGCTTAGCTTGTTACTTTATTCCGTGTCACTGTGTTTAATTATATTCTGTCAATTACATTGATGATGTGTTTAAATCCCAATTTAAGCCTAGCACCCTGCTTTTATTTTGTGTAGATATAAGCTTGTTGATTTCTGCAGAACATCTATTATCTGCTTTAACACACATTCCAATATATATCATACACCTCCAGCTGTTCACGTGTTGGTTTGATGCATCGGGATCCTAGTTAGTAGCCAATCCCTTTTCTTTAGAGTGCTTCCATGGGAATTTTCTCTTCGGCTGCAAGATGAGAAGTGAAAGCATCCCTTGTGCAACAAAACAAAACAAAACAAAAAAACCCAAAACAATGCCCTCATCTTGCATGGCAAGCATCTTTCCAGAAGTATTTGTCATCACTGCAAGAGTCTGCAAGATGAGAAGTGAAAGCATCCCTTGCGCAAAAAAACAAAACAAAACAAACCCAAAACAATGCCTTCATCTTGCACGGCAAGCATCTTTCCAGAAGTATTTGTCCTCACTGCAAGAGCTCAATAGCAATTGTAATGATTTCTGTATAACGTGGATCCAGTTACTTGTGTCCAATGGAAAGCACATATCTGGACCAAACAAAAGAGCACTCTTTTACACATTCTGCTTGTGATATTGAACAACATTTGTGCATAATCTGTAGGGGGGAAATTATGCAAATGTTGGTGGAAATGACAGAACATATTATTAGCTTTGTGGAAGGAATTGCTGCTTTTTACATATCTGCCTTTTTAAAATAATCAGCCTGTCAAATACTGAATAGCCCCATGCACAGTAAGGAAACAGGATCTGGCATTGCTGTCCTTTCCAAAGAGTTACACATGTCACCATTCTTTAATCTTTTGCTTTAGCTAAGCAGTATTCCCTTATTTCAGTAGAGTTTTCACTGGGTAGTTAAATATTTATGCCATTCCTTTGTAAATAAAGGTCAGGGGAGTGTTCATCCCAAAACACAAAAAAGATTTTAAAAAGGGGCCACCCGATTTTAAATCCGAATCTTTAAAAATGCAGTAGAAAGCATTGAATATGGAATTAGACCATTCTTGGAACATGGATGTGACACAGAAGATCTAAGGTTGCAGCTCTTGACGTAGGACCAAAAGAGACAAGACAGCAACTTCATGGTTCAAAGCAAAGCTGCCTTAAGAAGCATGGTTGATTGTCCTTCAAAGATGTTGTGAGATTCTATAAATTGCAGATTACCTTGCTTTACTTTGGTGAGAGGTTGTTGGGAAATAATCGATGAGCTTTGTTTGCATGCTGAGTTTGCAACCACAGCCTCTTAAGAGGGACTAGGTTTGGTCACCTTCTAATTGCAAAGCTTCCAATTTAATTAAGTTCATTGCTGTACTGATGTTTTAAATAACCTTAAGGATCACTTTCTTTTTATTAGGGGTGAGCAGTGTGTGTTCTGGAGCTGCATTGTCTCCAAGGCTTTTACAGTTCTTGCCCCCCTTGGGCTCCCACCACCATGCTCACCCTCCAGAGTGGTTTTCTCTAGCAAAAAACAAAAAACAAAAGCCATTTACTGGAAGCCTCCAGGAACCGTAAATCACCTTTTAACTAGGTCACCTGCGTGGCTCACAGTGTTTAACATTCCCAAATACCAGCTTTTACAAAATGAACATGAGCTTCCAGCCATTTCTTATTTAAATCCCACCTCCCAGTTTTTGTTATTTGGGCAGAAACGTGTCCTGTGGATTCAACCAAGTTGCTTGTCTCCCTCTTCCCTATTTGTAATTTGCTTTTTCACATGTGTATGCCTTATCTTTCTTATTCCAGTGAATTTAATACAAAACCCAATTTATTTCTTTAGCCTAAACCTACAACCCACATCACACAGATTGTATATGAAAGAGAGACTGCCAACTAATAAAGAAATACCGTATTTTTCGCTCCATAAGATGCACCTCTCCATAAGACGCACCAAATTTTTAGGAGAAGAAAACAGGAAAAAATAATCTGTTTTCTTCGCTCCATAAGACGCACAGACTTTCCACCCCCCCTGTTTTGTGGAAAAAAAGTGTGTCTTATAGTGCGAAAAATACGGTAATAATAATAAAAAGTCATATCTGGATTCAGTGGAATGGTCCTTCTGAGCAACTGCATGTAGGGTTAAGCTCGTTCATCTCTTCCAGCCTCCATTTATCCACAGCATTGGATCTGGATAGCTGGAAATCTACCCCATGCTAATTTTTCATTAGCCTGGAGAGCTCTAAGGGGTAGTGACAAAGAAAGGTCTGCCAAGCACAACATTAGACATAGGCCTCACAGCACAGTCCTAAAACCAGTTTATTTTAGTGGGGCTTATCCCCACACATAACATAGCCACCAGAGTCCACTGGACTCCCTAATATCAATTTTATTTTACAGTCACAAACCCAGCAAGAACCTTTAGTACATTTATTTATTTAAAATTTATTTAAAATACTTTTATACTGCCTTTTTCCTTTAAAAGAACCCATGTTCCACTTTCTCCCTGCATTAGATCGCTTCCTCACTTTGTACTATCTTTGGTATTTCTGCTTATTTTACATAAAGAATGTTATTTATATGAATAAATACAGTGTGGATTTGATTTAAATCAAGTCTATTTAAATCACTATCTGAAAGTTGAGCCATGGCAACTGGACTTTTTTCTTATTAGGTTGAAATGTTTTGCTACCCATCCAAGTAGCTTCTTCAGTCTGAGGAAAGTTGGTAGGAGACTCCTGATATATCCTCCAGTTTGTTTCATTTCCTCCTGGTCTGAATAGGCTCCTTAGATGGACAAAGGATGGGGGAGTGAATGAAAATCCCACTTCTTCAGCCCTTCTCCACCCATTGTCATGAGTTGTTAACAGTGGTCTTTCTGATGTATGTGGTCCTAATCTTCCTGAAGATGGATGAAAGGGGAGCATGATAAATAGGAGACAGATTGTATCTAAGGCCCCCATTGCTATTGAGTGAGGGATTTTCTATATGCCCATGTATGGCCTCTTTGACCCCTCTCTCAAACCACCTAGCTTCTAGGTCCAAAATGAGTTTATTTTGGTCATCAAATGAGTGTCCTTTGTCCTTCAAATGAAGGAACACTGCCAATCGTGGTCCTGAGTCATTGCCCCTCCTGTGCTGGGCCATTCTCTTGTTTAGTGGCTGTTTGGTTTCTCCAGTGTAGAGTTCCAAACACTCCTCTTTGCATTGGACTGCATATACTATATTGTTCCTGTTGTGTTTTGGTGTCCAGTATTTTGGGTGGATGAGTCTCTGCCTTAGTGTGTTTGTGGGTCTGAAGTACACAGGTATGTGGTGTTTACCAAAAATCCTTTTGAGGTTTTCAGACACACACGCCAGGTTAGGAATGACCAGGTTCTTCTGTCAGCTTTGGGTTTCAGACTGTTCCACTGTCCTTATGGGTCAGGACATTGCTTTGGATATCCACATCTTCTTGACTTCTGTAGAGGTGGGGATGTTTCTTGCTTAGTGGTTTAATGTCCTGATGACCTCTAGTTTGTGTTGCAATGGGTGATTAGAGTCAAACCACAAGCATTGATCGGTGTGTGTAGGTTTTCTCTAGATTTCTATCCCTAAACTGCTGTTGGATCCAATGGTTGACTGCAGAGTCCGGGAAAGCCAGCTGGTTGCCTTTGGTATCTTCCCTGGTGAACTTGATATTTGGGTCCACTGTGTTTATGTGGTCTGTGAAGGCCTGTACTTCCTGAATCTTGATAAAATTATTTAAATTATTAGTTTTAAATGCAAAAACTCATTCTTGCTGGTAGTTATATTCTTTAATATTTACAATCAGTTGAAGATTTCATATTTAGAATAATAAGCTGTCAGATTAGCAAAACAGCTATATCAGAACAGATTTTAGTTTAATGGGTTAACCACTTGTATTTGGAGAACTACATAAGTTGTTTTATTTAACACAAACAATAACATTATATAGCATACGTATTCTTGTATTTGCTTAAACTTCAATCTTTTCATTGTTTGTACATAGATTTGCAGAACATATATCAGAACAGATTTTAGTTTAATGGGTTAACCACTTGTATTTGGAGAACTACATAAGTTGTTTTATTTAACTAAAACAATAACATTATATAGCATACGTATTCTTGTATTTGCTTAAACTTCAATCTTTTCATTGTTTGTACATAGATTTGCAGAACAGCAATGTCTTTTCCTGAATTTTGTTCATTTTATAAAAAATTTACTGTGAAAATGTGCACGTTATCTCAACTTGGATAATTAGTTTACCAAAAATATAAATATTCCATGAATATACAGCTTCATACTACATAACTAAGTTCTATTTCATGCTAGATAGCCTTTGAAGTATAATGTATCTTAAATAGAAAACTACCTTTAGATAGATTTTTCCTCCAAAATATATTTCATTAAAATCAATTTGATTTAAATTGAAAAAAAAATCTGATTTGTATTTTAAAAAATCCTTTTTTAATTTTTTTTTAAAAAAAATCAATTGATTTTAATCCACCCTGAATAAACACAATTAAGAGGAAACTCAATTGTGGACACACACTTTATTTGACTGTGTGTGTTTTGCAGAATGTGTGAAAAGTCTGTATGCCCTCTGTTTGATGGGGTTGCTTGAATGCATCCTCTGGAGTGTCCAGTTCAAGCTTTGATTAAAGATGAAGAAATTGCCCAGCAATAGGCAGCACCAGAGCAGGCAGAGAAGGCACACAGACCACCTGGCCACAGTTCTCCCCACTATAGCAAGAGGTCTTATATTTCTTTTTGAATTACAGTATAGTCATGTTTTCTAAATTTGCATCTGTACATACAAATTGGTAGAAGTGAAGTTTATGCCAACTCGTGTTTTTTTAAAAAAATTGTTTATTTATTTTGGCAATGTGTAGGCAGCCAACTATTTTCTTTTCCTCCACAGTGGATGCTGAAATTGAAGAAGACAGCGCTGGTGAAAGTGAAGGTAAGGATCCCCACACAAACTCTGAGGTGAATTGTTTCATTTCTGTAGATCAGTGTGCTCCAAACTGTAGAGATGAGGGGCAAACTGCCAAAATGGTGGTTTGTCCTGGTTTGTGGTCTGTCAAGGGTGACAAACCACAAATTTCTCACCCATAAACCACCAAACTACAAATCAGTTCATCAGGATTTTTTGACAGCCTNCTGTCTAAAAAAAAAAAAAAAAAAGCTGAGCCCCACCTGATTCATTTAATATTCATCCCTTCGTATTTATCAGTTCCAGAGACCACAACAGTGGGAAGGCCAGTAGAGAGAGGAAAGGCTAGTCTATGGGGGATGAATTAAAATGGAGACTTATTCATCCCTTTGTATTTGTCGTGGTCTCTGGAACTGACAAATACGAAGGGATGAATATTAAATGAATCAGCAATTTTAATGAATATCGTGATTTTTTTTCATCCCCATATTTAATCACTAGTCATATACCAGTATTCACATCCCACGCTGGGAGGACTTGAAGCATAAGGAGTTCATCAGTGCACAAATATTGCTCTTGATTTAGTACTTAGTAAGTGTTGGATATATTGCAACCTGTATATGATATTTTTTGAGGGTTGTTGACTGGGAGAGAAGTCTTCTGTAAGGTATGTAACCAGTCAGTTAGTCAGTAATGAAGCTAGTTAACCAGTTAAATTCAGTGATGTAAAAAGTTAATAATTAGAAACTATATGATTTTTATTTTTTCTATGAAGAACTGGAAGTATATAGAACTTGTCATTACCAGAGTCTCTGAGTGAATGTATTGAGACAATAAGTGCCAGTTGAGGTAAACTAACAACGAAGGGGTGATCTACTAAGGGAGTCTTGTAGCTCAGTCTGCTCTGTATGTTCCTGACAGAGTCATTTTATCCGCTGTGTAATTAGAGAAAGTTTTATTTTAATTTTAATTAAGCCACACTCAATTCCTCACCTACTATGCACCAAGAACAAGTACCAGATCCAGCGTGGCTAGAATGTCAGATGAGGATCTAGGAAGCCTGTATTCGAATCCTTAGATTCGAATACAGAAGGTCATGGAAAGATGGCAGCAAAGGCAAACTACTCTTTCAATGTCTCACACAATGCAAAATAACCACCAAACCTATTAGAGTCACAATGAGTTGGAAGCAACTTGATGGTATGTAACAAGAATAGCTGCCAGGGCAATCATGTCACTGATTCTTTCAATTTAGTGTATTAACATAGCAATGCCCTGTGAAATGAATTATTTCTCTATCTCCAGTACACTGAGCAAGCACACTGCATCCCTATATTTACAAAGAGGTCATCTGTGTTAGTATAAAGAAATTTTATAGTTTTATAGTCATCTTAAGCTACTGGGTTTTCATGTAAGGCAACATCTGTTTTTAAGGAGTTTAGCAAGTATTGTTCACATCCCTAACATCTGCCGCCCCTCAGAAGAGGAAAGGCATCACCAAAAAGGGGGGGAGGGGAACATGAGCATAAAATTTACCTTTGCTAATGTATGTGTACTGATATAAATTTAGATATAATTACTACCAGAATTTAAATAGAAATATACATTTCTAATAAAATTCTAATAATTACCTCTAAGGGGGGGCAGAGATGATTATCTAGTGACCCCCATAGGCCTGTTGGAGCTGTTGTCCAAGTGCTAACTGGAGATGAGCAATGTTAAAGCCCTTGTACTCCAAACAGAATGCCTTCACTAAAATGGATTTCAAATATACAGTGGTGCCTCGCTTAGTGATTGCCTCGTTTAACGATGTATTCGCTTAGCGATTAGGTTTTTGGAGCGATTTTGCGCTCTGTTTAGCGAGGTTCCATATGGGGAAATTTCGCGTAGTGATGTTTGGGACCTTGCCTCGCTTAGCGATGACAGTTTAGGTCCCCCTGTTTCGCTTAACGATGTCCGTTTTCACTATTTTTAAAGTGTCTTAAAATGTTCAAAAACTGTTTTAAATGCTTGGAATCGTTAGTGCACCTTGTAAAACCTTTGCAAACTTAATTTGGCTTTGTTCTGAGTCTTCGTTAATTTTTGGTGAATTCCCCCCCCATTGGAATGCATTGAACTGTAGGTTTGACAGCTGTCAAACCTGCAGTTCAATGCATTCCAATGGGGGAGGAAAAAAATTATCTAACAATCCCAAGCATTTAAAACAGTTTTTGAACATTTTAAGACACTTTAAAAATAGCGAAAACGGACATCGCAAAACCATTGGAATGCATTTCCCAATGGGGGAAATATTGTTTCGCTTAGCGATGTTTCCTATGGTGATTTTTGCTTAAGGACGGTAATCCGTTCCCATTGGAACAGATTAAACGGTTTTCAATGCATTCCTATGGGAAATGGTGTTTCACTTAGCGATGTTTTCCCATAGCGATGTGTTTTTGGAACCAATTAACATCGTTAAGCGAGGCACCAATGCTTTCAGATAGAGGGCATTGTCACCTGTAAATTAGGACACATGGGAAACCTCAAACATATCAACAAATAAATTGGTGGATCAAAAATGGGAGAAAGTAATGTTTGCCATTATTTATTTTTGTTCTTTTACCTGTTTTTGAAGAGGAAGAATCTGAGCAGAAGAAAAAAACATCAAATAAAAAGAACCGAGAGAAAGGAAAAGCTGAGGAAGAGGAGGATGAAGAGGAGGATGAAGAGACTGCTGCAGAACGTAGACGAAAATACAAAAGACGGCGGATGAAGGATGCAGGAAAAGAGGGGGAGGAATCTGAGGGAGAAGCTTGTAAAAACAGGAAAAACAGAGCAAATCAAAAAACGAAGGAAGATGGTGAAGAAGAGGACGAAGTGGAGAGAAAAGGCAAGAAAAAGGGTGGGAAGAAGAAGAAGAAGAAAGACAAAAAGAGGAAAGGATCAAGGTAATGCCTCTTATTACCATGTGCATCATCCGAATGTTAATGCTTCGGTTTTCATAAACTGTACAGATGTGAAAACTAACATTACATGACTCCTTAATAAAAAAAGCTAATCTATAAATGCATAGATTTTAGAAGTAATAGCTCCCAAAGTGCTCTGTGCCTTTTAGGCCAGAGCATTTGGAGTTTAAAAGCTGTAAATGTAGTGTATCCAAGATAGTGCACCTCAAATCATTGATGATCATTCAATAGTTTTAATGTTTATTGTACCCATTCCTGGAAAATATGATCTCCACTATAAAAGCAAACCCAGTAATGAAAATTCTGGCCTTTGCACTACTTTTCATTTTAATTTGTCCTCATCAATCCTTCCCCCAAACTCATGTATTAGTAACATTATTTGTTGCAAATTAATCAAGTTATATCAAAGGGCATATATTTCCAAGATCAAGGACTCATAGTCTCAGTTTTCATTGTCTTCAGATAGTACTCCTGCAAAATGTACTGAAGGGGCCAAAATCCTTTTCTGCAGAATTACCTGCACATTGGGAGTAACATTATTGTCAGCTCATATTGCAGCTGATTAAAAACCACCTTTTTAAATTTTGATATGCACACAGATTTTAGCTATTGGCAGAGCACGTAGTATTTCATATAGCATACCCACAATTGCAACATTTACTCAGAGTCTTTGGTCTACAGATTCTGTGTGAAATCCTGTCAAACTGCAGGTGGGTTTCCTCATTGGCTAATTACACAGAAAGCCTTGTTTGGTAGAAAACATTTGGCCAAAATAGTGACTGCCATGTTTTGCCTTGTATCTCTGGAGTGGAGATTGATTTCAATCAAATCAAATCCAAGCCATATGAAGAGCTAAAAGGGGCACCAGATGGCATGTCTAAAATCCATCTAAAACCTAGTGAACTCACTAATATAGCTGCCTTTCAAATTAACTTGCTAAGGATTGTATCACACCATAAACATGCTAACAACTGCATTGCAACAGTGGCCTTAGCAGATTTCATCCCCCCTTTTCTGTACCAGCTAAAAAGTGCATTTTATTCAAATGCTATTTTTAAGTGTAAAATTTAAATTTAATTTTTCACTTGTCAGTTTAAAAATGCAAAAAGGGTACAAAATTCCCCCGAATGACACCCTCCAAAGCAAACCTTTAGGATTAACTTTACTTTGTTACTCATTTCACAAATGACATTCGCAGTCGTTATATCATTCGACAACTTTGCCTTTGTTGCAACCCCAAAAATAATATGTCCTCCCCCCTCCCGGACTCCTGACAACTCTTCACTCAGCCACTGTTTCTATCTACTGTTACCTGTAGTAATGTCACTCCCATTGTGCAGGGATAGGGGACCACCATTTTCTTTCTCCAGAATGTCCTAGCTATTGTATAATTCCTGGGCATTCTGAGAAAATTTAACCCCCTCCGTTAGTACACCCAATTCACTCTTTTCCCCCGTGGCTTAGAACAAACTAGTATCTGGAGGGTTCTTGAAGAGAAAAGCTTGCAGTCCAAAGCGGCCACCATCCTCAGCAACTGTTATCCACAGAGAAGTGGCAAGTGGCAAGCTCTATGCATTTGGTTTACAGTGAATGAAAAATGAACCTTATATAGAATGCATTAAAACACCAGTAACATTCTCTTAGCCTTTATTTTTTGTATATGATCTAGAATAACAATACAATGTGGCATAAAGGCTGAAATTCTGTTCCTTAGCATAAGCCAAATTGTAACTTTGGGTCACTTCCTCCCTCGTAAACACAGCATCTGTGCCGTGATTCTCGAGGCACATATGTGCACACACCATGCCAACGTGCACCTCCCCTCCCCCCCAAGAATTACAGCAAGGGATGGTTTGTTTCCAGAGAAGAAGGGAATTAAAGTTAGGATTTGGCTTTCGCTAAGCAACAGGATTTCGGCCAAAGTGTAATATAATAATATGACTAATCTGTATGAACAGAAATACTGATTTTGTCCTTTAAAGGCCAACGTGTGCTCCGTATTCAGTCAGCTTTAGAGAGAGCATCTCTCCAAAGGCACACCCTGACTGGCTGGCAGTGCCCTTTCAATAAGGCAACTTGGGGCAGAGTTAAGAAGGGTGTCACTATAGCTCCTTCATGGTACTCTTGCATGACTTTACACTGCATAGATTTTGTGGTACCTTCTTGAGAAGGTTATTAGCACGTGGTCTGATTTGTTGCTGATGTTGCATACTTGTATAGGTTTATGTTTTACTCTTTCCAAAATGCCGGTATATATATTTTTGATATATATTTATTCATTGGATTTATAACTCACTGTGACTTACTACTAGATTTCAGCTATTACTTAGTAAGTATGGAGTTTAGAGAGTTAATGGTATGAAATCTTTCCCAAGAAAAGCTATCAGCTGCCTACAGATCTGTCAGCCAAGATTGCATCCTGTTCAGCTTTTTTTCTTGCAGCTCCGATTCTAGTTCTGAAGAGGAGTTAACTGAGGAGGAAGTGGCCAAGTTAAAGGAAGCAGTGGAAGAAAAAAAGAAACTGATTGCCACACTGCGCAGTAAGCCCTGGAATATGAAGAAGAAGCTCGAAGTCCTGAAGTAAGGTTTTGTTTATGTAACCAATATATATTGGTCTGTTGTAATATGTGTATTCACGGGTACATCTTATACATCTGCAGTTCCTTTATTATTCAGTACATCCTTGATTATTTACTCACAGAGGGGCATGTGAGCAATTGGCCTGCTGGCCCTGAAAAGCATGGTGCTGGCTGTGATACAGAGTTCTGTCGGTGGTGATTAATCTGGATGATTCATTCATGCAAGCAGCCAAGCCAAAAATTGACTTTCAGCATTCGCAGGTGGGTGTGCCCTTGCTGAGAAGCGGTACCTGCACGTGGGGGCAGCTTGAAGGCTGTCATGAACACAGCGATTGCTATAGGTTTGGCTTTCAAGTCATCGAGATCACACGAATCACAGCAGCAATGTCAACAACCCCTGCGGTGATGTGGGGGGTCTTCCCCATCGGGGTGTGTGTGTGTGTGTCTTCATATTAATTATCATTGAACCAAAACTCAAAAATGGGGGCATTTTATTATTTTAAAATTAATTTAGAAGAAAGCGGTGCAGACCTTTCTGCTCATTTTCCCACTTGCAAAGTCACATGCTCCCCAGGCGGTTACAAGGCACCACTCTTATAACTTTTTGCACCCTTTAAGGCCTAAAATCCTAAGCACTGCTTCTTAGAGCCACTAGGAAAGGTGTCAAACTGCAAAATACAGTTTTGTATGTTATTTTTAAATTGTTAGTATTCTATGATTTTAATTTTTTATGAACTGCCTTGGGTCCTCTATGGGGAGAAAGGCAATATATAAATAAAATAAAATAGTTACTGATTGCTTTGGGTGAAGTTTCCTTTACTGAATAAATGAAGCTATTCCACACATTCAACTGTGAGTCATCAGACAGTGAAAAATTTAGTGTAGTAAATGCATGTATCGACCAGCTAATACCCATTGGTTAAAAGACCTAAGTCCTTAGAAATAAGACAGGAAACCTGAAACAAGAGCTGAAAAGAGGAACAAGGCCCTGTGAAGCTTTGTTTGAATGACTCAATGGTATGCATTCACCCAATATGGCACTTTGATCACATTTTAAAATCAGGGTTGCCAGGCTTCACTGTGTTGGCTAAAGTCTCAAGCGGTTGCTATCAAGCACCTTTGCAGGAGGGGAAGATTTGACTGCTCTGCATGCAGTGGGTTTAGACTGAGCCTGTGCACCTGTCTCCCCTGCATTCCCAGCTGGCACCAGAAGTCACTGGTCCAACACCAAGATGTTTATATTGCTTCTATGAGGTCTTTTTTCATGCTGTGTCAGCATGCTAAAAAGTCCACTGCCAGTGGAGAGGACTGGAGGGAAGGCTCATGGGTGTGCGCAGTTGAGCCCATTGTGCCATTCAGAACAAGGCCAAGACTGACCTTGTGCCCTTTCCCACGATCATATGGACAGGATGTTGTTTGTCCTCCCTCCCATTCCTTGCTGGCCACACTTATTTAACATCCCCCAAGGGACTGCCCCATGACTTCATAAAGGCATGCCCACCTTTATGAAGTCAGAGAATAGGTATTCACATAGCAAAACTTTTTTGCTATCAAGCACCTTTGCAGGAGGGGAAGATTTGACTGCTGTGCATGCAGTGGGTTTAGACTGAGCCTGTGCACCTGTCTCCCCTGCATTCCCAGCTGGCACCAGAAGTTACTGGTCCAACACCAAGATGTTTATATTGTTTCTATGAGATCTTTTTTTCATGCAATGTCAGCACACTTAAAAAGTCCACTGCCAGTGGAGAGGAGTGGAGGGAAGGCTCATGGGTGTGTGCAGTTGAGCCCATTGTGTCATTCAGAACAAGGCCAAGACTGACCTTGTGCCCTTTCCCACGATCATATGGACAGGATGTTGTTTGTCCTCCCTCCCATTCCTTGCCGGGCCCACTTATTTAATATCTGCCCCATGACTTCATAAAGGCATGCCCACCTTTATGAAGTCACAGGTTTTGTCTGTGAATACCCAGAGAATAGGTATTCACATAGCAGAACTCTTTTTCTTATGCTTCTTCCACTTGGCAGCAGCTGAGTCTTTGGCCTTGTAAAAAAACAGTCTTTTAAGAAGAGTCAGCTCAGAAGAGTCTAACTGCCTCCCTATTAACACCCCGTTTCTCTTTAATGAGATTTGAGCTCCTGCGTGAAACCATCTTGACCTGTTACTGAAAAGTTGAGCAATCCACCTGAATCCTCTTCTTCAGCAGGAGCCTCTTAGGTTCAGTAATTCATTCCCTCCTTTTGCAAGGTTTGAAACAGCCTGAGTACAGTGCACCTAGCACTTCAGCAGCTGCAACTCCACACCTAAAATTAATTATTAAGCCAGGCCATTTAAGGACAATAATGCCTGTGTTCATGAAACATTGATGCTCCTTGTGATGGCAATTAGATTAATGTTTCTTTGAATTCAATAAAGGTTTCATGGGTATATCTAAGAGATGATACTTTGCTCTATCTTGTGTTATTGATAATTTACATTAAACATATGATTTGGATGGTTCCAAAACCTGTTTCTTACATCCTGAGTTTTTTACACTTTCCTCATCTTTGAGATGATACATACAGGGGGATTTGGATGGTTCCAAAACCTGTTTCTTATATCCTGAGTTTTTTACACTTTTCTCATCTTTGGGTAAAGATATACAGGGTGTGTGTGTATGTTCGTTTGTTCCTGTTTTCAAATCTGCTTCATAAACAGACAAGTAGTTTGTAATGATAAGCTGTCTGGGTAGCTCAGTGTGCTGGAACACCTGGTTGCAGGGTCAGGTACTGGATGTTCAATTTCCCATTGTGCCATCTGGGAGAAAGCCCACCTATGCAAGCAGCACAGTCCCAGTGCACCCCCCAGTGAAGAGAATTGTAAATCACCTCTGAATACTGGCAAGGATAATCAAAAGTTGGAGTTTAATTAATGGCATGTTGCTGTTGCAGTTGTTATTAGAGAATTATTTAAAAGGTCCAGATACAATCAGGCCCTATGCTATGGGGGAGTGTTAGAATGGCCCTTCCTAGTTTGCAATTTGCCTGATTCTTCACCTTTGTCCATGTTGGTTTAGGCTGATGGGAGCCATATCCCAATAACACCTGGAGGACCACTGAAGCCCATCCTTGCTTGTATAGTGTTCAAATAACTTTATATACATGCTGTTTCACATCTTTCCAAATGACTTCAAACGTGGTTACATTATGAAAATGAATTGATAACTGAATTGAGGTTTTTTGCAATTGGGTTAAAGGAATGCGATAGTCACATGGTATTTGGGTCGATGTGTGTGTCCTTGGGAAAACTTTAAATCCATTTTAAAGCTGTGCTGTGTATCAGTTGAGGGGGGGCTACACGAGCTTTTATAATCATTGCAACTGAGGCTTTGTCTTGTGCTCCCCCACCCACATATTGCTATGGCTCCTCACAGCGCCCGCACACACATGCGCACAAGTGAGAGAATGGCAACCAGTGCTAGCAAGAGAAATGTCAAGAGTAATTAACCAGAGTGCAGCAGTTTCGCCCCTCCTTTGGCTGCCATTTTTATTTATTTGTTTATTTAAAACTGGTAGCAGCTCCTCACTGGAGCTTTGCAGTACTGCAAAAACACTGATCCAAAACTCCTCATGGACACATATTGCTATGGCTCCTCACAGCGCCCGCACACACATGCACAAGAGTGAGAGAATGGCAACCAGTGCTAGCAAGAGAAATGTCAAGAGTAATTAACCAGAGTGCAGCAGTTTTCCCCATCCTTTGGCTGCCCTTTGTTTTTTTTATTTAAAACTGGTATCAGCTCCTCATTGGAACTTTGCAGTACTGCAAAAATACTGATCCAAAACGTGGATCTTCATGGATCCACATGATTTTTATGTAGAACCTGTCCCAGACAGATTCATAGGTCCCACATGTACGCAGAGACTACAACACAGAAAATATGAATCCTTCAGTGCTTGGTTTTTGCTGTAGTGCAAGAACATCAATCCAAGGCAAGGATCCACATGATTTTTATGTGGAATCTTCCCCAAACCATAACCATGGATCCATAATTTCCATGCACAGTCAGTGTGTACAAATGCACATGATTTGACAGTGGTTTGTGGCAGATCCCACATAAGAATCATGTGGATCCATGAAGATCCATGCCTTTACACCACTCTTTGTGCATGCACGCATTTGCGCGCGGATCCGATCCATGAAGATCCATGCCTTTACACCAATCTTTGTGCATGCACGCGCGCACGCACACACACACACACACACACATGCATGCACACAAGCAGATTTCAAAGGCCTCATTACTATTTTTATCAGACTTTGGGAAAGTTATTTTTGTGGACTACAGCTTACAGAGCTTTGTAGGCATCATGGCTAGAATATGCAAAAAGGGGATCCATGAAGATCCATGCCTTTACACCAATCTTTGTGCATGCACGCGCGCACGCACACACACACACACACACACATGCATGCACACAAGCAGATTTCAAAGGCCTCATTACTATTTTTATCAGACTTTGGGAAAGTTATTTTTGTGGACTACAGCTTACAGAGCTTTGTAGGCATCATGGCTAGAATATGCAAAAAGGGGAATGAACGTGATTTACACAAATGCCTCCTCGAGTGAAATTCCTCTTGAGAGATGTACTGAAGTGACTCAGGGAAAATGGCTAGAATATGCAAAAAGGGGAATGAACATGATTTACACAAATGAAGACAACATGGCATAAAAGCATTCAGAATCTGGAAGGAGCAGTCTGAGGTGAACAAATGATACAATGCTCTGCAATATTGGTTTGATGACTGCAGTAGCGCAGAAGACTTGGTTTTAATTAGCTTATTGAGTATAGTGGCATGCACGTTCTTTACATCGTTACTTTGAGGCTGTCTTTTGAGAGATTTTACAGAGTGGCTTTCCATATATTTCATCTAAAGAGGTCCAGTAGGAATGCCTCCTTGAGTGAAATTCCTCTTGAGAGATGTACTGAAGTGACTCAGGGAAAATAGTGGTTTGAATTGGCCAGGCCAGTGTTCCATAGGTACTGTTGATAGGGTGCTGGCGAATCCTTCTGCCTAATTATGACAGCAGCCAGTGAAGCAAATCTTGTGCTTTTTAATTTCTGTGTGGGATATAGATTATTTTACACTGCTTTAGTGGTTTTATTTCCCTTTAATCATTCGAATAGTCCTCACACCATAAATTCATGCATGGAGATGGGCAATTATTTAATTCACTCATATTGCTGAAATGTTAAGAGGTAATGCATTGTCTTTACTTGCGATAATGTTGAAAAATGGCTCTTTAAAGACCAGCAAACTTAATTTGACATAAACTTTCATGAATTACAGCCCAGTCCTAACTGCATTGCTTGCTACATTACCTGATACGTTTTGCTACATCTTGTTGCCTCTTTTACTTTGTATCCAAATATTTGCTCCACAAATTAGTACCAGCCCACCTGGTTGGGAGGTGGCCTGAGCGGATCTATCCTCTGGTTTCTGCAGATATTTGTATGTATTTCTATTCGTATGTTTCCATATTGGGACAGGCAGTGCTTCTACCAGTTTCCTTCCTCACTTCCTGAGCCATGGCCAGGGAAAATATATGTTGGGAGGTGTAGGAAGTGTCACCTTAGTCTCCCCAGTTGTTAGCCTGCCTTGTCCAAATGTGCCCACTGGCCAAAAACACAGTGCTGCATATTTGGCAATCCCTCTCCCATTATGAAACATGCATAGACACTCACAGCAATTGAAATAAGATCTATTTAGTGTCACTACCAAAGGAGAGGTTATGGAAAAAAATAGCAGGCAGGTAAATTCAAGGAGACGTTTCTTCTGTGGCTCTCTTGCAGTGCGCCAAACAGTAAAACTGAGAAGAACAAAATAATTAAATATGTGTTGCGGCTGGAGAAGGTACCACATTTTTCTTTGTATAAGATGCCCCCGTGTATAAGAAAAACCCCTCCCACTTTTCTAACCCAAAATTAAGAAATCTTACTGTGGTTTAGCAAGTGGAGGAGGAAAGGGATCAAAGTGCTGCAGGATCACTTTGATCCTTGCTTTCTCCCTTCGTGCTAAGCCCCGTGGGGCTTAGTGAAAGAAGGGGGAAAGGGATCAAAGCAATCTCGCGACTGCATGATTGCTTTGATCCCTTTCCCCCTCATGCAGCCACAGGATTGCTTTGATCCTTTCCCCCTTCCTTTTGGTAAGCCCCATGGGACTTAGCAAATAGAGGGGAAAGCAGGGATCAAAGCGATTCTGCAGCACTTTGATCTCTGCTTTCCCCCTCCACTTGCTTTTGTTCTCTCCTCAGCTTACTTCCATGTATAAGACGACCCTCAAATTTTAGTTTAAAGATTTTAGACAAAAGTATCATCTTATACATGGAAAAATGTGGCATCTCCTTTGTTCCCAGCCAGTAGCCTAGCTTGACCAGTTGTGCCCTATCACTACTTGGTCAAATCAGAGGGGCTGCACATTTGGCATCCTTCCTCTCTGTAACTTACACAAGCATTCACACAAGGAAAAAAAGTTTTGCAGATAAACACAAGTAATGACTATTTTAAAAGGGGCATTAAAAAAAGTGCAAGAAAGATGGTCCCCAGAATTCAGAAAGTTACTTCCAAAAAGTTAAGTGCATTTATAATTTCAAGATCACAAAAGTAATCTGTTACTGGTGCTTACAGTTTAACTGTAACTTTTTAGTTTCCTAATTTTCAAAAGTAACTTTATCAGAAACTAGATATATGTCAAAAATTTTGGTGGGAGACCAATATTTAGCATAATGTCTAGTTTGTCTCGAGGATGATTCACCTTGAGTAATGTAAAATTTATCTCAACATGTCAGCAGAACAGGCTAATCACAGAAACAATGGTTTCAAGATAAATTCACAGCTCCTTTCCCTTTTCTTCCAGAGATGCTCAGCGTTTTGTGGAAAAATTTGAAGGGGCTCTTGGCAAAGGCAAAGGAAAAAAGTTTTATGCGTATAAAGTGATGATGATGAAAGTAAGGCTCACTGCTCATTACTTCTATGAAATGCCTTCACTGTTACAGCTTCTTTTCTCTTTTCGAAATATCTCTGCTAGAATGGATGGTTTCGTTCTGATTTGGATTGGATTTAGTTGTCTTTGAAAGAAAAGCTCACAATACTTTGAAGTTTTGAGAATATATTACTTCTGCCTATGCTGCAAACAAACAAACAAACCACCCTGTTTCAATCAACTTTAAATTAAACCGTAAATATATTTGTGTTCCTAGATGGTAGTGTGACATTTGCCCCTTTGTGGCCCCTGTTTGTCTCCCCAAAACAGAGAGCTCATGAAGGCAAACCGGAAAAAAACACCTTTTCACACGCTGCCACCAGTTGATTTCTTTATCAATGTACCTTATTTAGGAAAGACAAAGGTCCATTCATCACTGTCTTTTGAATAAAATAGGTTTATTTCTCTCTCTCTTCAAACTCAGATCCAGAGATTACCCACCACCCTTCTCCTCTCTGGTTCTGCCTTTTTAACCTCTCTGGTGGCCCCACCTCTCAACCTCATCAGCATAAAACATGAATAATGCAGGACTTATTTAACATAATAAGGGAGAACGCCACAGGTAGTATTTACAAAACATTAAATATCAACTTGAAATCTTGAGCAATCAAGTGGTGATGACAGTCAGCCGTGGTGAGCAGATGTTGGCTTTGAGAGAATGGATCCCACAGTAGAAGAAAGACAAATGAAAGTTATCAAAAAAATCAGTTAGTGCTCGGGAAAATTATACTGTGTACAGTTCAAATAAGTACAGGTCTATTTAAGTTCCCTTAAGATTACTAGGATTAAATAGTTCACAGTGAAGTTAAGGCTACAATTTTATGCAGTTTTACCCAAAGTATGTTACAGCACTCTGATGGTGGGATGTTCAGGTCTCCTGAGATTGGCCTCATTCTGGCACCAAGTTAAAATCTGACAGTTAGAATCTATTTTATTCACTCTTTAATAGGTTTAAACAATTTTATTGAGTGTACCCCATCCCAAGATCTCATTGGATATTAGATGGAACAGAACTATTTTAATCAATAATGCAGAAATAAAGAGATTTCAGTCCTTGGACTTAAAATCCAGAATTTGAAAGATTGCATCACTTTGACAGAGGAGAATTAGGATTTTTTGATTCAAACTCCCGGAATTCTATAAAAAAGAAAAATTCTGTATCAGTTCTCTTGGGTATCAGTTCTTTGGAAGGTGGCCCTCTGTAAATCTGAAAGTACATCAAGACTACAATTCCCAAGAAACACTATATGAGTTTCTTTTCTTTTTAACATTGATAACAAGAAGTAGACGCAAGACACCGATATAGCCTCAGAGAGTTAGATCTTGGTCCAGGTGAGTGATATGTAGGTGTGTGTAGATGTGGGTCTGTGGGTTGAAATTCCTAGAATTCTGAGATCTGGATATCACATTTGTCACATGCTTAATAAAAGACAAAAATGCTAAGCAAAGATTAGGGGAATGCCCAAGAACCCACTCTTCTATTTTATCTAACATACAATTTTCAGAACAATCCTGACTGGCAGGTGCACAACACAAGATTTTTCTGCATGTTGACAGAGAGATGAGAAAGTCCCATTCTGTGTGAGAGAGAAAGGCATAGGGAGATATACTCTCATTTTCTGCTTCCTCAATGCAAGTACTGCTTTCAGAGCTTTCTAATAATCTGCACTGCATTTATTTCAAGAACATGGCATAAACAGAGAGGTTTAAACTGTAAATGTTGTGTTTTTCATCACGCTTTTCTAAACAGATAGGATACTTTATATTTTCTGAATTCTTTCTTTCAGAAATGGATGAAATTTCAACGGGACTTTGAGAATTTTAAAACAGCATGCATACCGTGGGAAATGAAAATAAAAGAAATTGAAAGTAAGTGACCGAGAAGGGAAAGATTTAATTAATTCTTATATTGCTGGAGATGGTGAATAAATAAAAAAGAGTTAGGGTATGACCAGATAAGCCTTTTTTTGCATGTTTGATTTGGTTTTGGCACAGGCTGGTTCGCTCAATTTTTCCAAGGCTACATGATGTAGTCTTTGGTAATCGTGATCCAGTCCTTCCCTTATCATCCCTATCCACGTATTTTGGGACTCTATCAGGGACTGATGTTTTTGTACTGCAACTCTCAAAAATCCTGGCCAGCACAGCTAGTGGTGAAGGCTTCTGGGAGTTTTAGTCCAAGAACATCTGGGGATCCAAGGTTGGGAGCCATTGCTGTAGAGGAATGGCTCTCCCATTCAATTGGGGGGGGGGGAGAGACACAAAATAAAAAAAATCAGTGTGTGCTATTTTTTATTTTATTTTATTTTTGGCTCTAGTAGCTGCATATATAGCCTTGGTGGTCTGCATGCAGCCTGTAGCTGCATTTATTCTTGCTCCTTTTCTAGAAAAGGTTTATTGATACATATAGTATGTTATAGCAAGTGCTTTAAATTTCACGTATGTGTGTGTTCATATGTATATATGAATGAATGAATGAATGAATGAATTTAATATGTATTATCTGCACTTATATCCTACTGATCTTATAGTGCAGTGGCGGTGAACCTTTTTGAGCCCAAGTGCCCAAACTGGGGGGGGGGACCTCAGCGGGCAGTGTGCCGCGACAGCGGCAGAAGGTGGTGGCAGAGCCAGAAGTGGCAGAGGAAGGGGGAATCCTGGGCATGGAGATGCCTTGAGACCCCACTCCAGATCCACTGCCAGCGCCAGCTGCTCCAGATCCTGGCCCACCGTCTGTCGAAGTGCCAGCACCGCGGCTGCTGCTGCCTCCCAAGGTTTGGCTGGGGGGGGGAGTAGTGATCTGGTGACTTATGGCTCGTGTGCCCACAGAAATGGCTCTGCGCGCCAGCTGTGGCACACGTGCCATAGGTTTCCCATTGCTGCTATAGTGAGTGCAAGGTGGCATATATAGCTCTCTTGCCCCCATTTTATCCTGACAGTTATTTTGCGAGGTAGGTCAAGTTTGAGAGACGGACTGGTAAGTATCACTGAGAAGTGGGGACTTGAGCCCATGTCTCACAAGTTGTAACCCAACACTAAAACCATTGCACCACAATTTTGGGGGCACACATATATCTGCTTGTGTCTTGAGCCAATTCACAATTTAAATTCTGTAGTTTTATGTCACTGCTATTAAAATTCTGGAACTTTCAATACCAACTAATACTCCCATTCCAAAGATCTTAAAATACCATTGTAATGTGTGAGTCACCCTGGACGGGATTAAGGCATGCTGAGGCTCTTCAACATTAGCAGAGCTTTCTGTTATTCTGTGAATGACATAAAACTTGAAATGCAGAAACAAGAGATTATATCCAGAGCCATCTCATATTCTCAAGTGGGGAGGGGGGGAAAATGGCAAATGGTTTCCTTTTATTTTCTTTATTTGTTTGAAATATTTTAACCCCACCCACCTTTCTCTTCGAAAGGACCCAAGGCAGTTGACATTTTGAGAGTTTTGTCCATTTTTCACATTTCAGCGCATTTTGTGAAAATTTTCTGGAAGTATTTTCTGCACAAAAATTGTATTTTGTACAAAGTACTATATAGGGTGTTTTTTTAATATGAAGAATTGTAAGCGTTAGTGTAAAAAGCTGTTTTAATTGCTCATGCCGCTGCTGATGACAGAAGTCCTGATTGCTTTGCTCTTGATCAAGAGTAAAAAAAATGCAGAGGTTGTACAAGTTGACCAATTTTTTTTCATCAAGAATGAGAAAATTTGGTAGTATTTGCTTATATCCATGGAAGGATAATACCATTACTGCCATGAGGAGATTTTCAGTGAATACCCCATCTTCTCTCCCACGGTTTGTAAGACTTGCAAGAAAACCCATTAATTAGATTGACTGAAACCTTGGGAGCCATGGTACAGAAGAAAGAAAAGTTTAATTACTACCACCTGATAATGCTATTGGGGGAGAATTTTGGTAAACATATAATGTCTTCTTCCATCTCGTGGCTCCCACAACTTCCTGCGATGAAAGAAATTAGTTGTAACTTATGCAGGAGTATTTTGGTTAATACGTCAACCATGATATATTCGATTTATTAAGCAACCATACATATACTGCATCAGTTTTGCTTTCTTTCCAAGAACAAGGAAAATGATCAATGCTCCATTTGCCATTTTATCTCACTTCATGTTTTACAGGTCATTTTGGCTCTTCAGTTGCATCTTACTTCATATTTTTACGGTGGATGTATGGGATAAATATTGTTCTGTTTGGACTTACTTTTGGCCTTGTCATGGTGCCTGAGGTGAGGGTGACTCAGTTGGTTTGTATGTTCAGTTTGTTTTGATGTTTCTCTTTTACAAGTCATACAGGAACATGGCTCAAAGTCATCTATTCAAATAATTGGGACTGTAAATATTGGCTGTTGTTGATGTTTTCTTTCTGAAGAAAATCAGCACCAGACCAGTTTTTGTTTTTTTAATTGTTGAAAAGTCTCCTTGTGCCCTCGAGGGAGCATAAGGAGCAATTTTGCCATGTTTGGGAACTCTCCTGCACCTTTGCCGCCCCCCCCTTTAATTTTTTTTACCATGTTTTTGCTGCTTGAAGGTGCAAGAACTTTTTTTTTAATTAAAAGAAAAGAAAAATATTTCTGAGGCGGGAAGCTCAGGGATGGGTAGAGGTGCTGGGAAGAGTGTGTTTGACTTCTGGAAGTTGCCCATCCCTAATTTAGGCCTTAGCTCATTATTCTAGGGCTTTCTTTCAGTATTTCAAGGATAGTTAGGATAAAGGGGCCCTAGATAGGATAACATCATACACACAGTGGTTGCACTTGAGCAAGATCTCATATGGATTCACCTGTTGTTCAATGAGTACCTGAGCTGCCAGTCTTCGATGAATTATCATCTGAAGCTGTCCTTTAGCTTATTTGAAGCTAGGGTAGCTTGCCAGAATTAAATGTAGTTAGATTTACACATCACTACATTCTCAATGGGTATTCCCCAGTGCAAACCTGACAGTCCTCAACACAAAAATTTGAATGTGTAATTCAGTGATGGGAATGGTAAGGATTTCATGGACTGTAATTTTTCATTAAAGTAGTTTCAGAATGCTTCAGAGTTAAATTAGCAGAGGGGAAATGGTAAACAATTTCAGAATGGGCTATTCCCCCCCCCTGTATTTGCATTCTTTAGATCATGAATGGGGAATATCTTTTCCTCCAGATGTTGTTGGCCTACAGCTCTCATTGACCCTCACCATAAGAACACAGATTAGGAATCTCCCCTGCTCTTAAATAACCCGCCTTAAACATGATCCATCTAGCCCAGTTTTGCCAACTCTGAGGGGCAGCATCTTTCCAGTTTTTTCCAGCAGGATTTTTTTCCTGGCTATTCCTAGAGATCCTAGTATTCCTCATTCACATCTTACTACTATCCAGGTCCAACCCTGACTGACTTTCGCTGGTGGCAGTCACTTGTTTAAAATTATGAATACTTTCTCCTCTGTTTGAATACAGGCACTGATGGGGAAACCACATGGGTCTTTACCCAGAAAAACTGTGCCAAGAGCAGAGGAAGCAACTGCTATGAACTTTGCTACTCTGTGGGATTTCAGTGTAAGTGTGTGCTTGAACAAGACCATGTGTTATTCTGTCTCTCTCTTTCTCTCCTCCTTTTGTGTTACATTAAATATTGATCTCAGGCCTCAGCCATGCATTGTGCTCAGTCACTGATTTGGTATGTGCCACTGGAGGAATTAAAACAAAGAGAGATACATTCAAAATAATTTTGAGAAAATGGGTTCAGATTTGACACTAGGATTCCAGAGGACCCTTCCAGGGCATGAAATAAATCCTTATGTTGACTAGTCACTGGATTTTCTGACACGCACAATAAGATTCAAGCCAGGGAGCAAAGTGGAACAACAGCCCAGGCAATGAATCAGTGTGCTGTTCAAGAGTTGCCATTTTTCTTTATATTTATTAAGCGGATGCGTCATAAAAACAGACTCCCAGGACCCTTCAGTTGCACCGTTCTAGACAAACTTCATAATTTGCAAAAACACTGTAGGTGGATTTGCTTCAGGAAAGCTGCGCTGTGGGATTAATTTGGCCCTAGGTGGCTATATGAAATAACAAGCTCTCAAACTGGCAATGGCAAGGGAACGGAAGAAAGATAAATGAGGAGATAGAAGAACTGAGCTCCCAACCGTGTGTCCCACTTTTTTTTTCTCCTTACCCTTAGGGAGCAAGGATATTGTTTACATCAGCAACTACTGTGGGATTTACACTAATGTACGTACCAGAATGGGTAAAAACTACTGTCAGGATATGCTACAGTAGTTTAAAATGCCATATGTCGGATCCTCGCTACTTGTCTTTGATAGCAGGAGAACAGAAGACAGATCACTGGTGGGAGTTACTGCAGCTGGAACTGAAAAGTCTTTGTTCATTTTGCAGTTGTCTCAGGGCAGCCAATGAAACTGTGCTGCTGGTGTGCTCCATTCTCTGCTTTGCTCTACAAGACAGCAGGGGCACAATGGGTCTAAGTGCGTGTATTCACGGGCTCGCTCCCCAGGGCCCTACCTTGGCTCCTAGTTTGTTGGTATGCTGATGTGGCGCAAGCACAGCTGGAAATGAGTGTCCAGGTTTTAAAAGCAACTCACACATGAAATGTAAACTTTCCCCTCCTCTATCTAGCATTGTTTACCTTGAGATTTGTCTCCCTGGCTGGAGACCTGGGAAAGCATCACAAATTCCCTAATCCTTTGCCTGACATGGCAAACCTAGTGCCAGGACAAACCGCCTGTCTGTCAAGAAGGGTCAGCTGCTTGCATTCTCGTAGTAATCAAGTCAATGAACAAGGTGGATTGGTCCTGCTGCCATGTTCCTCAGATCTACTGGATGAACTGCCCTTTGGCTTTTCAGCTTACATCAGTGGGTGAACTTCGCTACTCTGTGGGATTTCAGTGTAAGTGTGTGCTTGAAAAAGACCATGTGTTATTCTATCTCTCTCTTTCCTTTTGTGTTACGTTAGACGTTAAATATTATTTTCAGCTACATCAGTGGGTGAGTGACTTAGAAGAGTTTGGAATATTTTTGTGAACCTCATACTTTGGTGGGCCATATTCTGAACCCTGTTTCCAGATGTTTTCTCAAAAGAAATGAAGGAAGATTACACCACCATCTTAGAAACCTTCATTTCTTTGGCCTTTTCTTTGTCTTTAACCAAAAGAAAAGAAAAGGTCTCTTTTTTTCTTTTTAGAAAAAAAACATTTTTGAGATATGCTGTTATGGGCCTTGAAACTGGCCTGCAGTCCCCAACATAGCTTTTTGATGGCAAATGCAACAGCCTTAAGTTTGGAGACTAACATTTTGATGCTTCTATATTTCCCTCCTGTATTGATAACAGTATATTTTTGAATGCCAGATGCTGGGGAACACAAGTAGGAGACTGCTATTTTACTCATGCTATGCTTAAGGGATTTTTTTAAGTGGTTGGCCACTGTACAAGTCAAATATTGGACTAAATAGGCCTTTGGTCTAATCCAACGTGGCTCTTTTTGTGCTTCTTCTTAAATGGGCCATTAACACTGTGGCTCGTGAATTGAGATGAGATGTGCCACACCCCACAGTTTTGAATGGAGTACTCTATGGATCATCAAGTCTAGTCCCATTCAAGGAGGCACAATGGAGAATTGAATTCCCAACCTCTGGATCCACAGCCAGTTGACTAAACCTATCCAGCTGAGACTGTTACAGTACCTCACTCTGCCTAGTGGTAGACAAAAATGTGGCTGAGAAAAAAGGAGGAACCATAAAACAACTTTCATCACAATTAAAATATATTGAGCTCAGTTTTAATGCCCAAGAGCAATGTACTTAAAGCCAGTTCTATTCTTTATCAACTTTTCCCTCAGTGGTTGATCATGTGGTCATGTGGTTATATCTGAGGGATATATCCACATGACCCTCGCCTCTGGAACAATCTGCCTCCGGAGGTTCGCACGGCTCCCTCGCTGGGTATTTTTAAAAATCAATTAAACGTGGTTGTTCAGGCAGGCCTCCCCCCCCCAGTTAATTCCTGACTCTCTCCCTTCCTCTCTTTATTTGATTTTTTTGTATGCTTCCGATCTTTCAGAACTATTTAATTGTGCAAGAATTTTTTTCCCTTATATTTGTTGTGTTTTTTTATGTTGTAAGCTGCCTAGAGTGGTCGCAATGACCAGATAGCAGGGTATAAATAGAATAAATAAAATAAAATAAATGTTGTATCATAAGGAAAAACTGTATATATATTATAAGAAAAACCTGGAAGCCAGAGCTGGTGGCAGGAATACTATAATCTGTTCACAAATCTGTGTAAAATCCATATTACACTCTGATGCACATCTGTCCCTCTGTGGAGTAAAAAATATTATGTTAAAATTTCCTCCTAATTACACATTAAACAGGGATTAATGGAAGACAAACTCCAGCAAGGGTACTGGCAGAGAACCATGCCTGAAGATGCAAGCTGTGGTCCAAAGGAGCATGATAGGAAGAGTCATTCTTCCATTTGTATTGTCAGCTAAATTAGCTGCTCCTGCAGTGCATAGTAAGCTGATGTTAATGATCATGGGAGTTTAAATCACTATGTGTACTGTGGCAGAATAAGCACAGATTGCAAATTTTAAAAAGAACATGAAACCACCATTGCACGCTGGCTTGTAATCCACTGCGTGTACTCAATCCAGTTTGCAGCCACAAACAGTGAGGTTTGATAGACTGAAGTGAATGCTTCCGAATTACTATTCAAGTGGATAGAGCAGGGACAGCAACTTGTAGCCCCCCCCAAGCACCTGTGGGCTGCAGCTCCAATAATCCCTTACAATTCTGGCTTGGGCTGATGAGTGTTGTAGGCTAACAGCATCTGGAGGGCCACAGTTTACAGTTTACACCTGGTTTACTGATTAGTTGTGTCTACGGGGTGGCATTATATAGAGAGGGTACACCTGTGGTTTCACTCAGTTAGCGAGCTCCTATGCTAACTCGAGAAGGGCACAAGGCCTGCACAGCGAGTTTCCTGACGACCTCATAGCACTGCACCGAGACACAAGAAATGTGGCCTTGAACCATGTCACAGAAAACTAGAGAACCAGCACAGCTTAACACGACACTGCTTTGAATGTTTTGCCAGCAGTAATGGGCCATGGATTCCAGTTTTAAAAAGAAGTGTGTGTTGATGGCGGAGGGGGAGACACATCTGAGGGACATTTCAGAAGCGCTGTCTACACTCAGCAGGGACAGACATTCAAGCAACCGTAATTAACATGATCCAAGGACAAGGACCAAAAAAGTCAGAGGTGGGCAAGAGAGCAGACCTCGAGGGCAACAGTCTAAGTCTGAAGAGTCAGAGACAGGACCCATCATCTGGTTCAGGGAGGCAAGTTTTGGCAGAGCACTCTAGAGCCTAGGAGCGAACCTTTTGGCTCTCCAGATGTTTTGGACTTCAACACTGAGACTTACCTACTCTTGGCCATGCTGGTTAAGGCTGATGGGCATTGAAGCCCAAAACATCTGGTGGAACATTGGTCCCCCACTTTTGCTTTAGAGGACGTCCTTTCTTTGTTCAGTTTAAGGAATCAAGTCTAGGGCAGCAGTCACGTGAGGTTAGTCAAGCCATTTGTTGGTTATTCTGAACACCTAACCTGTCTACAAAATGTAATTGCACAAATTATTATGTTAAAAACCCAACGAAAGCAAAAGTGTAGCACATGCTTTCCCATTAAAAGCTCTGCTACAGCAGCGAGCTGCTTTGCAGCAGCTTACCTGAATGAAATAACCTGTGAATATATGCATGATGCTTATACTTTTTCAGCAACTAACTGGCCTGTGGTCTGTGTAGTGCCCAGGATAGCTACCTCTGCCTTTCTTGTACAGAGATCAAAGCCCCTGGGCATAGCTCTCAAGAGTTCCCAATCCAAGCCTCCTTGGGCTAATGCACAGAGCACTGCCCTAAAGATACTGTCATGGGAAAAAAAGAGGTCAAACAAGATGGACCCTGTAAGGCATGGAAGTTTGTTAAGCTGTGATGGAGAGTTATCTCATATTGCAGAGTGAAAGTGGAAAAACATACTGCCTGCCCACTGGAGAGATCAGAAAGGGGACTTGAAGATGCTTGGAAATTTCACTTTGAGGGATGGGCACCTATTCCCTGCATTCTTTCCAATGCAGCAGTGGTGTCAGAATTCCAAATGCAGCTTTACATGTGGAGTCCCATGGTAGCGTACCTGCCAGATTCCTTATGGGGAAAAAAAAGCATTGCCCTCTTACCTGGAATAACCACGCGAGACCGGGTTTGTGGGTAAATAATGGGCCGCGCTTTATTGGAATCCATTCCATTTCCATAAACATTGCCACTCCTTGTGCAAAAGGGGAGTCCTGCTGTAGTGCGGTTTCAGGTTAGCTCTTGATTGCCAGATTCCTTATGGGGAAAAAAAAGCATTGCCCTCTTACCTGGAATAACCACGCGAGACCGAGTTTGTGGGTAAATAATGGGCCACGCTTTATTGGAATCTGTTCCATTTCCATAAACATTGCCACTCCTTATGCAAAAGGAGGGTCCTGCTGTAGTG